TTGGATCTTTAGCTGACACAGAATAAATATAATAGTGATAAACATTATTTTATTCTTCTATACAAAATAATACTTTACCAAAATATTAAAAAAATTTCAATATTAAAAAAATTCTTTTTCTGAAATCCTCCCTTTCTCCTCCAATCCTAACTTACAAACATAGCCTTAAAGAAACAAAATGACCTTTTAAATTATTTTTGTCTCCCAAATAATCAAAGTGTTCTAGACAAATTTCTATTCTAAGAAGATTTAGTTGGAAAAATATAGACATAGAGAAAATAAAATAAAAAACAAAATAACAACACAAAAAGATGTATCACAATCCAATCTATTAAAAGAATATAATTATTTGAAGGTAAACCACTTCAAGAATTATTATATCGTTATCACCAACAATTATAGTTTGAAAAAACTACCATACTCCACTATTAAGGGTATCACATGAAGCTAAACCATACCACTTAAAATATCTTCACATGTTAAAACCTAGATTGAAAATTTATGGTGCAATTTTTTTTTTGGTAGGAAATTTTTCAACCACCATGATAATCTCACAACACTTGCATCAATGTCAATCAACACTCATGTATTAATCAACACCTTGTGTAATTCTAATTTTATCAAAATATTTTTTAGTTGAATTTTCCACGTAAAAAATGAAACTTCTATCAATTATTTTGTTAAACTAATACAATAGTTTTATATTATTTATGTAATATGTTACAAGAGAGGAATATGTTATATATACATATAAAACCAAAATTTTAATTATAACCAAAATTAGGGTAATTAATAATAAATAACTATATTCTTTATTATAGCTTCAACGATTTAATGGACATCTCACGCCAACACTTCCCATTAAGTTTGTGCCCAGAGATCTCAATTTGTCAAGTGTGTTGTAGAATTCTTTGCTACAAACAACTTTTGTGAGTATATTTGCCAATCGATATTTAGATGTAACAAACAAAATCTGAATTATCTTAGCCTCAAAATTTTACTTGATAAAGTGTCAGTCTACTTCCACATGTTTTGTTTGGTCATATTAAACCAGATTATGAGCAATTTCAATTGCAAACTTGTTGTTACAAAAAAAAGTTAATCACACTATTCAGTGCAAAACCAATTTATGTTAATAGTCTTCTAAGTAGGGGAAGCTCACAAAGACCCTTAACCATCCCTCAAAATTCTGCTTCAACACTTGATAATGCTACAACCTTTTGTTTCTTACTTTTCCATGTAACTAAATTTCCTCCAACAAAGGTAAAATAGCCTGAGGTAGATTTTCTGTTGGTGATATCTCCTGCCCAGTTGACGTTTGTATAGACTTCAACTTGTACATGATTATTCTTTATGAATATTAAGCTTTTTTCAAAAAATTACTTCAAGTATTGCATGATTCATATTTCTGCATCCATGTGATCTTCATCTGGGTTGTGCATAAATAAGCTTACTACACTTATCGCATAAGCTATATCAGGTCGTGTATGAGATAAGTAAATAAGTTGGCTAACTAATCTTTGGAACCTTCCTTTGTCTGTTGACACTTGGTTTAGATATTTTTCAAGTTGATGATTTTGGACAATCGAAGTATCTACAATTTATAGTCTAATAGTCCAACCTCTGACAAAAGATGCAAAATATACTTTTTTTAGATAAAAATATGACTTTCTTCGACCTAACAACTTCAATACCTAAAAAATATTTGAGTTCACTTAGATTTTTCATCTCAAATTATGTTGCCAGATGTTTTTGACGCTTTGCTATTTCTTTAGAGTCATTTCCTGTAATAATCATGTCGTCTACATACACAATAAAATTTGTGACCTTGCCTTGGCGATGTTTCTGAACAAAGTATGATATGCATTGCTTTGTTGGTAGCCATATTTTTTCATTGCCTAGTTTAATCTCCCAAATCACGCTCTAGAAGATTGCTTCATTGCTTCAAGCCGTACAATCTGCGCGTCGCAATTTACACACCATTTTAATCACATAATTTGTCATGTATCCTAAAAGGATATTAATATATATTTCTTCTTTCAAGTGTCTATGTAGAAAGAATTTTTTTTTTCCGTCTAACTTATTCTATGGCCAATCAATATTTACTATAAGGGATAACTCTGCTCAACTTAGTCAAAAGTGAAAAACTTTATTGATAATCTACACCATATGTCTGTGTAAAATCTTTAGTTATTAGTCTTTCTTTGTACCTTTCGATAGACTCATTACATCCATCAACTTTGTATTTGATAGAGAAAGTCCACTTACATCCTATTGAGATAAATATCCCTAAGAGAAGATTTTAGGAACCAAACCCTAAAACCTTAGTATGAAAGCCTATCAAAGGTCTTATATTCAGATACACACTATTGTAACCCTAATACTTCTCACTTTCAACCATTAGAGTATTTGCGGGTATCTCGTCGCTCGCTGATCCATAGCATCAAGACGTACCAAATCATTCACTAGAGGTTACAATTGGATCTTCATTCATAGCTTCATTTGTGATTATCATAGGTCTTTTCCATATCACAAAATTAAAGTTTAACTCAAATCAAAATAAATCAGAGTGGACGGTGTAAGTTATTGATCTGAGCCGAGTTCAATCTCTAACAACATAATCTGATACGTGTTAGTTAAGATAAATAAATATAAATTATTGGTGTATTATTCAATATTCGATAAGGTGATATTATGAATAATGAATTAATCATATATATTTTATTGAATTAACAACAATTTTGCATGCTACAGGGAAAATTAAGTACCTAGGAATCATTTTTAAAACAACAAAGTACAGCTGATGAATCTAAAGACAACATAAGAAGTAACATTTATGATCTTTTGTTAACTAAAACTCTAATTGAAGAACATGATATGTAACTTAACAAAATAAAGCCGTTGAGTCTAACTTAACAAGTAATAAAATGAAAAGCAGTAAAAGTATATCAAGTGTGCTTGCTTGGGAAAAGGGGATAGAACACTATACAATATACAGTAACAAACACAACACATTGAGATGAAAGAAAGTTGCTATAGCTATCTAGGAAGATGGACTGCTACTGTTGTTGCGAAAGCTGTTTGCAAGATTATTCAAAGGAGAAGCTTGAAAAAGTGAGAGTCTTATGGTTCTTGTGTGAGATGATGTATGCAAGTCTTTACACTCTTCAAGATCACTATCACATGCTAACACAACCCACTCTCCTTCATCATCCAAATACTTGAGAACCAAATTGTTCATATCATTTAGGTTAAAACGCCTTGCTATCTCAAGCTGCAAATCTCTAAAACACCATACAGCTTGCAAGCTAAACCTAATCTTTTCGTCCTCGAATGTCGCCTTCACTCTGAAAGCACCTCTTTCTAATAGTCCTGATGATGATGAATTGTTGTTGTTCCAGGTTACAGTTGGTCTTGGAGGTAGGGTTTGGTTATTGCTGTTGTTGTTGAAATGTAGAAGTAACTGTTTAGTATCATGATCCTCTTGTAGTTGTTGATAGTCTTGGATATTGATAGTGGATGCATGTTGCGTTAATGCATCAACCGCTGAAGGAGCTGCAAGGTTTTCTGTCATCACAAGATGATGATGATGGTCTCCGTTAATGATAGATTTGTTTCCTGCTGCATGAGTCTGACTGCATGCAGAAGGTGGAGATTTCAAATTGGTAACTAAATCTCCATGGCTGTTATAGAAACTGTTGTTATTGATGTGATCTCCACCGCCGCCGCCGCCTCCATGAGCTAGGTAGAGCTATAGATGGATAGCATGTGGGTCCCATTTTGAAAACGAAAGAGAATTGTTTTATCGCCGTGGTTTCTTTGTTTTAGATTCTCTTTTACAACTCACAACATAAACCACTCTTGTTTGTGGGTAACAAATTATTCCACACCAACGTTTCTGTTAATTTAGGAAACTTCTAAATAGTCACCCCAATAGAAAAAAGATTCACGAAAATTAAGCTTCAAAAATGTGAAAGGTAAGTGTTATATAAAGTGCATTTTATTATTATGAAACTAAATATCCAATCGAGGTGATACGAAAATTGCGAGATTAAATATATTTTAAGATGTTAAAACATCCTCAACTATCACTTGATGATGAAATATAATGTTGAATTTACATGCTCAAATATGTCATAGCATTAATTGATTTAATTTATGTTAGTTTTTTGAATTTGTGTATATTTCTGTTTTTGATTTGTCAAACAAAATATTTTTTGAAATTACAATTTTAAATTATTTTTAAAATTTTAGTGCATTCGAATTTGAGAAGTATTTTAAAATTTTCAAAGAGTGCGAGATTATCTTTAGCCTAAAAACATAAATAGTTAGTAACGTGGTTATGGTTAGAAATTCTCTTATTTGAGGAGGACCATGCAGAGTTATTAAAGTGCTACAGTTAAAAAAAAATTAAGAAATATTTCATTTTCCCTGTATTAAGAAAAAGAAGTGCAGAGGTAATGGAAAATAGTTTAATTTTACAAAATCAAATATTTTACTAAAAATGGTGAAACTCTACTTTTGAGATCCCTCTATTAAGAGACCCTCCATCACAATACAAGTAAGATGGCGTTGTTAGCTAGATAGAATCAAGAGAATTATACCGAAAGAGTATTGAACAAGATTATTGAAAATGGAAGCAAAATTAAAAGGAAACTCCGTATTAATACCAATTTTAAAATATAAAAAGAAAAAATAACATTAATATCTAATAATCATGGCTCCGAAGAACAACAAATGCGACAGATTAGTAACATAGCTCAACTTAAAACGAACTATAGCTAAGCAAAAGTTTGTATACATCTATAACGAGAATAGCCTAATTGAATGTATAGAACATCAAATAAATAAACAAAACATAAACACACATTAAAAGTTAATTAATAAGTATAAGTGAGAATTGTTGAATGAACATAAAGAGTGAATAATAATAACACTAATTAACTAAAACAATATTAAAATTTGTTTGAGTAGTAATTAGTATAATAAGTAGAAATAAATCAAAGTCCTAACTTCAAATCAAGAGTGAGAGAAGGCTCATCATCGTCAGGAGGAGAAGGTGGTGGAGGAGGGAGAGGTGGAAAAGGGAAGTTCAAATCAACATTAAGAGATGATGATTTGTTAGAAGTTGTTGGTGCAACAGAATTAGAATTAGAATTAGATGAATCAAAATGACACCTCTTATGTCCACCAAGTGCTTGTCCAGTTGTAAATACCCTCAAACATATTCCACACTTATGTCCTCCACTATTCTCATTAACCGCTTCTCCTTCCACGTCAGCATTGTAACCGTCACGAGGCACCGTCATCAAATTCATCATCGAGTGGTGGTTATATTCATCGTGATGATGATCAGCACCACCACCACCACCAAAAGCATGTTCTCCGCCGCCACCTTGAGTTTGTTGTGTCCACGTCAACATCTTACTAGTGGAAGCGGTTACTGTTGTGGCTGGCGAAGAAGTTGTATTGGCGAAACAGCCCTTGACATTCTTGTGACTTGCTCTGTGTCCTCCAAGAGCCTGATGCGATCCAAACACCTTGTTACAACACGAACACACAAAATGAGTATTACTATTGTTAATCTCTTGATCCATAACCGACGATGAATCATCTACCGTAGTAACCGCCGCAACCGCCTTAAGCTTCGCCGTTTTGTTGATGCTGTTGTTGTTCGTCTTCGAATTTGAATTTGCAAGTAAAAGCAAGCAAGAAGCAACTTCGTGATCTTCCGGCGTCATGATGGAAAACTGAGAAGGACTGTGACTGTGAATACGCGGTTGTTGTTGTTGATATTGTTGATGCTGTTGATGTCGTCGGAAATTCGGAGGAGGATTGATACCTCGCCATTGACGTTCAGGATGACAACGCATGTGACCGAAAAGAGCTTTCCATGACCAGAATTTCCTGCCGCATTCAGTACAAGCACGAGGAGTGTTATCGTTGTTGTTGATACCTGAAGATGATGATTCGGTTTCTTTTCTCTTCTTACCGGAGAGAGAAGAAGATGGACGGTGATGATGGTGATCTTTCATGATGAATTCGGCACTACTGTTATGATAGGAATTATCGTGTTCTCTCATATTTCATACTTGTCTCTCTCTCAGTTTTTCAACCAACTAACCAAAAAGTTCTCCCAATTCATGCATTCCACTTATCTACACACCCCACTCTCAAGCGGTTACTTCAACTTCCTCTCCCTTTCAATCGACGGTTTCTTCTTCTTTTTTTCTTTTCTTTTTTTTTCTTCTTTAATTAATTAGTTAATTATTCCGTTTTTATTGATACCCACCCTAAAATTACATGACACGATTAGTTATCATGTGCATTACATCTTTTGAAATTATTATGTACACATTAAAATAAAATAGATATTGATTATATTAAACATTAAATTTTATATAATTTTATTTTTATACATACTATCATGTAAATTGTAAAAAAAAAATGATATAAAGAGAGAAGGATTTTTACTCCTGACATATGTCAATAAATTGGATCACCTTAGTAGATTAATAGAGATTATATTCATTCATTCACTGACATTGTTTCTTTATTTTTCTCCTGAATTTAATTCATGTTGTGCTATTGCTAAATCCTGTCACTAATCACTGTGTTCATGTAAGGCTGCTATTACTATGATTATTTTGAACACTCATCTTTGACCTAATGTTATGACATTTAGGTGTTGCTTGGTCTTTCGGGAGTTTTGCTTGTTATGCTTTCAGTCCTTGGTTCAGTTGGATTTTTCAGTGCTTTTGGAGTAAAATCAACACTAATCATAATGGAAGTTATACCTTTTGTGGTTTTAGCTGTAAGTCTTTCTGTTCTGACCATTGTCATTTATATTTTATTACTGCTGTGAAAAACACTGTCCATGTCATAGTATCCAAATCAAATGGACTAACATAAGTTAACTGTGGAAAATAATGTGAAAAATTCTGACTATTGTCATTTAACTTCAGTTGATGCTGTAGACCCATAATGCCATTAAACTGAAGTTATATACAGTCAGCTTCTGCTGCCTCTTTAATCATCGCATTCTTGGGTATTCAAAACTGAGAGTTTAAACACCCAGAATAATATTTTAGTTTATACACAAGATAATAAATTGCAACTGCAACTACTTGAGAGTAATTAAGCTACCATTATTTCCTAAGATGCATTGAACCTATTCTACTGGTTGTACAAAGAACCTCAGCTATTAGAGTATAAGCTATAGTTAGAATAGAGTAAGTAATGCTGACCTGGCAGCAATTGTATCAGATTAGTTCTCAGTCATAACTAACTATTAGAGTTAGTTATGCTAAGCTGTCTTGTATCAGTTAACAAGCTATGTATAAATAGCATTCAGCTTGTATCATTTTCAGTTTGAGAATTAATCAATATAATACAATTCCTCATTTTAGACCATACAATCCCCACAAGTTTGCATTCCATACTAAGGAATGTGTTTTCCTTGGCTATTCTCCACATCACAAAGGGTATAAATATATGGCCTCAGATGGGAAGATTTACATCTCCAAGGATGTAATCTTCAATGAATCAAGATTCCCTTATATGCATCTGTTTCACAAAGGCACCAACTCCCTCCCTACTCCACCCTCTATCTCAGTACCATTACCTCTTTCATTTTCATCACCCACTTAACACAGCGCTCCCACTGCCACTGTGCTCCCTAAACCAATTCCACTAACTGCAGTTCCTATCTCTCCTCTTCCAGTTACATTTACTTCCCATTTATCACCACTCTCTCCTCAGACTTCTACCCCGAACACTCTCACTAACTCTTCATCAGCAAGCTCCCCATCTGACTCCAGCTCAGAACACTCACTCTATGGTCACAATATCTAAAGCTGGCATTGTGCAGCCAAGACTTCATCTTACACTTCTATTGACTGAACTAGAACCAACATCTTATAAAGTGACTCTTAAAGATCCAAATGGCCAGAGGCCATGAAGTCTGAATATAAAGCCCTTTTACACAATCAAACCTGGACTCTTACAACTGTTCCTCCAGGGAGAAAGGCCATAGGCTGCAAATGAGTGTTTAGGATTAAGCAAAATCCTGATGGTTCAGTTCTCAAATACAAAGCCAAACTGGTGGCCAAGGGGTTTCATCAAGTTCAGGGTTTTGATTTTCAAGAAACTTTCTCACCAGTAGTGAAGCCTGTTACAGTCAGGGTGGTCCTCACATTAGCTTTCACCAGGCAGTGGCAAATCACTCAGCTGGATGTCAACAATGCCTTCTTAAATGGCATCCTAACTGAGGAGGTCTATATGCATCAACCTCCTGGGTTTGTGCAGACCAACACCACCTTAGTTTTGCAAACTAAACAAAGTCATCTATGGATTAAAACAGACACCCAGGGCATGGTTTGAGAGACTCACCAGTGCTCTGCACTCTCTTGGTTTTATATCCAGCAAATGTGACCCTTCTCTGTTTCTTTTGGCAACCTCTACGTACACTATCTTCATGCTAGTGTATGTAGATGATATAATTGTCACTGGCAGTTCACCTAGCCATATTCAGAGTCTAGTGGCTAAACTCAATGATCAGTTTTCTCTCGAACAACTCGGTGACTTGAATTATTTTTTGGGCATTGAGGTGTCCAAAACCTCTCAAGGTGGTCTCTTTCTGTCCCAAACCAAATATATCAGGGATCTCTTAGCCAGGACTAACATGAGTGAAACCAAAAGTTTACCTACTCCTATGGTTTCCAATCTCAAGCTTACAAAGGAAGGCTCAGACTACTTACAAGATCCTACTCACTATAGGTTTGTGGTAGGAGCATTGCAATATGCCACTATCGCAAGGCCAGAAATCAGCTTTGCTGTCAACAAAGCTTGCCAATTTTTGTCACAGCCTATGCAGAGTCACTGGGTGGCTGTTAAAAGAATTCTTAGATATCTCAGGGGTACTCTTCATCATGGCCTTCAGATGCTACCCTGCAGTTCATCACAGTCCCTCACAGCTACTGCATACTCTGATGCTGTATGGGGTTCTGATCCTGATGATAGAAAATCAACATCAGGGTCATGTATATTTCTTGGTCCTAATCTAGTGTCATGGTGGTCTAAGAAACAAACATTGGTAGCTAGATCTAGCACTGAAGCTGAATATAGGAGCCTGGCCAGTACTTGCATCAGAGGTTCTCTGGATCACATCCCTTCTTACAGAATTAAAAACACCCTCTGAAACTCCTATTCTCTACTGTGATAATTTGAGCACTGTGGCTCTGTCTCACAATCCTGTCCTCCATGCTAAGACTAAGCACATGGAGTTAGACATCTTCTTCATAAGGGAAAAGGTGCTCAATCACACCTTTGTATTCAAGCACATCTCAGTTGCCATGCAAACTGCTGATATCTTGACAAAACCTCTCTCTGCGCTCAGGTGTCTCAGTCTCAGAGATCACCTCAAGGTTCTTGACGAATCTTCCCTCCAATGTTAGCAAATGGCTCTCTCAGGGAGCAGCACCATTTGAGGGGAAAATATTAGAGTATAAGCTATAGTTAGAATAGAGTAAGTAATGTTGACCTAGCAACAATTGTATTAGAGTTAGTTCTCAGTCATAACTAACTATTAGAGTTAGTTATGCTGAGCTGTCTTGTATCAGTTAACAAGCTATGTATAAATAGCATTCAGCTTGTATCATTTTCAGTTTGAGAAGTAATCAATACAATACAATTCTTCTCTAGAATGTTCTATTTCCAACAGTTTATTCTAATTTTACAAGTTTCTTGCTTTGTTCATTCTTTGATTAGGTTGGTCTGGATAACATGTGTATAATCGTAGATGCTGTGAAACGGCAACCCTCAGATATACCAATCGAAGAACAAATAAGCAATGCAGTGGGGGAAGTTGGACCATCCATAACACTCGCCAGCTTATCAGAGGTATTAGCATTTGCTGTAGGATCATTTGTTTCTATGCCAGCATGCCGTGTTTTCTCGATGATTGCAGGTAAAATAGTTTTCTTCTTCAGTCCTGCCCTTTTGGATAAAACAAAAATCAAATTGACGTTTTTGTATAGCGCATTTCAAATTTTTGTTTATGCACATTGAAAGGAGGGGGGAAATCCAACTTCTTTAACAAGTGATTTTAAGTTTATTTTTTTGTCGCATTTTTTAACTTCTGGCAATATATTTTGTACAGCTTTAGCGGTTCTGCTGGACTTCCTTCTAGAAATCACTGCTTTTGTGGCTTTGGTTACATTAGACTTTGAGAGAGCCAAGGATAACCGGGTTGACTGCTTCCCATGCATTAAGTTGAACCGACACTCAATGGAGCAGACTGAAGGTACGTCTGAGCTTTCGACCATGGATACTATTTTTTTTATTGGAGATGACAGCCACTCTTGAGCCTGTATGTCGCATGTTGTGTTTTTGGGTAGTTGCTTCTTATATGGTATTGGAATCTCTGACCAAATTTCGAAGAATTGATAATTTATGACCTCATGCATACATGGCATGAGACCTTTGCTTCTACTTCATCATGCCTAAATTTTACCAGCCCTTTATCTCTCAGGGTCTCTCATTGTTAATGATCTTTATATTTTCCTCTTCCTCAATCTATCTCAAAAACCTTAGATTAGTTCGTCTTAATGTTGTGTTCTTTCGGTAGCTTTTAACTATCTCAGATAAAGTATGACCTACACTATCCCAAATGAATTCTGGTCCCAATGTATGTGTTTTAACCTTGCTATCCCAAACTCAGGTTTGTCATGGCTATCCTAGATGCAATTTGACACTGGCTATTATAAAACAGTGATAACTTGATATTAGTTCATATTAGCCTCGATTTATAATCTTGGCTGCGCAACTTTCTCTCATTCTTTCGGGGACAGAAAATTCACTATTTTATAGAAGACAATGAAATGGCTGTTCTTGTAAAGGCGCAACCTTTTCCTAGAGTGAGCTGATGTAGTTAAGATGCATATAGTTCTTCTGCTAGTTCCTCAGTGCTCTGGATCTTCTTTCATAAGATGAGAGATTAATAGCATCACTTTAGAGTATCAAAGTCTTTGTAGATGTTCTCTTGACCTGAACTCAGATTCTTCTTGGTCTGATCAATTCTGGTGTTTCTTTAAAAGACTTAGGCTCTTAATGATTAAGGCATTAAGCCAATAAGATGTAAATTTCCTTTATGTAGATCTTGATTGATGTAGTAGCTTTGTCAATTTGGATGCTTCATACTTTCATTGCTCCCTCTCTCCGCCCTATAATGAATGACACATTTGAAAAAAAATTAAAAATATTTCAAAATGAACGAGCCATTTCAATTTACAATGCAATATTAATTCATTTTTTTCAATTGTATCCTATAATTAATACTACTTTCATCACTCACAATATTTAATAATAGGTACTTTGGTAAAAACATTCTTCTATTTCATTTATACAATTTTTTTAATATGTATGAAATGGTTAACTGGATCACTAGAGAGTATTATACACAGGACGACGACATCCTTGTCATATACTTGTGACATCTTTTAATTATTGTAAGTTCTTCATGATTTAACATTGAGATAAACATTTTTCTTGTAGAGAGAATCCTTCTTTATAACTCGTGTATAACTATTATTTTTGTTGAGTCATCCATCCTTGAGTTGTGCCCATTGGATGCACAGATTTCTCTTCTTAAAATCTTCTTTGAAGTAGTCCATATTATAGACATTGTAGAATAGTCCGTTTCAAGGTATAATTTGTTGTAATTTTGTTTTTTCAGCCCTCTAAAAAAAACAATAGCTTTAAAAATATATAGTTACTTATCTAGTGGAATTTGAAACAAAATTTTTAAAAGAAACAATAGCTTAAACTATGTCATCCAACTATTGCTTAAAAAACATAGTTTATTGTTAAAAAAGGAACGGCTACTTTAGAATTAAGGTTTTCAACCTAGTGATATTTTCTGTTTCGAAAAAGTGTTATTTATTTATTTATTTTGCCAAAAAGTAAATCAAACCTCAATGAATAAATTAATAAGAGATGATATTGTTTCTTTTAAGTGAGTAATAAAGTAAAGTTTACCTATAAGTTGTAAGGTTAATGGCCGTTGATTGTTCCTCCATTTCACATGGTATTATTCTAAACAGTTTTTGTGTGCTTTTCATTATCTGGACCCCATAACTTTATGGAACTTGATTTGACATCCTGATTAAATTTTTTTCACAAAACCTCATGTCAAGATCATCCAATCTTTTTTGGGCATTATATACTCAATCTGGAATGAATGAATTACACTTTGCACCACCAACTTTATGGTTCATTCTTGATAAATATTTAAAATTATTATAAAATTTTAAGGACAATCGATGACTATAAGTTTTAGGAATATAAGTTATAAGTCTCCAAAGATAAGAGAACAAAAAGAAAGGTATGGCAAACCTATTCCTAAAGATAACTACCAATTATGCACTAATCAACTATGCCAAAGAGACACTCAGATCAAGTATGGAACAAGTAACCAACAACTAATCAAATATTTATACATTTATATATTTGTCTAACATTGAATTAAAATTATAATAGTAAATCAACTCAATCAATCATTTATTTATTTTTAAAATGTGAATTTTTTTTATTGATCGATTAAATTAATCTAAAATATGATATTTAACATAAAATATAAATATTATTTTATATTTTAATTTGAAATATGAAAGTCGGGGATGTAGTCTAATAAGAAGACCTAATTCCATGATTTTGTTGGCATGTAATATAATCTTTTTAAATATGAATTGAAATAAATATTATTGCAAGGAGATGAAGATAATGATGTGGATTGCAATATGTTGGTATTTGTAGATAAAGAGAAACAACATTATTTTCTATAATGAGATTTTAAAAATAGAAGAAATTATTATTCATGTCAAAATTATTTTTTGAAATTAGTTTGTAAAAATCATTTTTTTGAAATTAGTTTGTTTAGAAGAGATTTTCACTGAGAAGTATTGAATATTGTGAGTTGATTTGTATTTTTATAACTAGTGAAGAAATTCGGTATATTTCAAATTATGCTCATTTTGTAGTTTGATTGAGCATTTTTTGTGCTCCTTTTCTTCAATACAATTGCTTATTAAAAAAAAAGTGTCGCAAATGTATATAATATAATATATACACATCAAACATTTTGGTTCTAAAACTAGAGTCAAAGACTTAGTCCATAATATATAATCTTAATTTTTGTTGGATGCTGACAGAGCTTCTAAATTTTCATTGTTATGAGTTTAGAGAGGAAGGATGGAAATAGTTTTTTTTTTTTTTTTTTTAAAGTATTCAATGAAAAGAATAGAAGAATTTAAATGGAGAGAACTTATGAGGATTTATTTTTATTCATAAAATAAAATCTCTTTAGTTTGTGGAATTAAAAAATCACAGTGAAGAAAGGGTTTTAGAGATTTTCGAGAATTTAAAAATTTTTTTCAAATATAATCTATATTGTTATAGCATTTTAAAAAATAAAAATATTATTTTGAGTCAGAACCAGACTTATGTGAATTGCGGCAATGGACCTCTTGATATTGTGTTGCAAGTCTCCAGTGTGAAATACAATGGTGAACTTGCATGATTAACACTGCAACGTTTAAGTCAGTGAATGAATCCAAAAAAGAGTAGAGCGAAGTGTGAAAAACGTGTACCTTGAGTCTTATGAATATTAAAGCAAATATATATTTGGGTCAGGTAACCATTGAACTTTCTTCGAAATAATAAATAGATCTACTTAATTGGATCTTCTGCTTCAACACTTGATAATGCTACAACCTTTTGTTTCTTACTTTTCCATGTAACCAAATTTCCTCCAACAAAGGTAAAATAGTCTGAGGTAGATTTTCTGTTGGTGATATATCCTGCCTAGTTGGCGTCTGTATAGACTTCAACTTCTACATGATTATTCTTTATGAATATTAAGCTTTTTCAGGCAATGACTTCAATAATCGCATGATTCGAATTACTGCATCCATGTGATCTTTATCCGGGTTGTACATAAATAGGCTTACTACACTTACTACATAAGCTATATCAGGTTGTATATGAGATAAGTAAATAAGTTGACCAACTAATCTTTGGGACCTTCCTTTGTCCATTGCCACATGGTTTGAATATTTTCCAAGTTGATGATTTTGGATAATTGGAGTATCTACAATTTATAGTCTAGTAGTCCAACCTCTGACAAAAATGTAAAATATACTTTTTTTAGATAAAATTAAAGATGACTTTCTTCGACCTAACAACTTCAATATCTAAAAAATATTTGAGTTCACTTAGATTTTTCATCTCAAATTATGTTGTCAAATGTTTTTTAAGTTTTGCTATATCTTTAGAGTCCTTGCCTTGGCGACGTTTCTGAACAAAGTATGATATGCATTGCTTTGTTGGTAGTCATATTTTTTCATTGCCCAGTTTAATCTTCCAAATCACGCTCTAGGAGATTACTTCAAGCCGTACAATCTGCGCGTTGCAACTTACACACCATCTTAATCACATAATTTGTCATGTATCCTAGAGGAATATTTATATATATTTCTTCTTTCAAGTGTCTATGTAGAAAGAACTTTTTTTTACGTCTAACTTATTCTATGGCCAATCAATATTTACTACAAGGGATAACTCTACTCAACTTAGTCAAAAGTGAAAAATTTATTGATAATCTACACCATATGTCTATGCAAAATCTTTAGTATTAGTCTTTCTTTGTACCTTTCAATAGACTCATTACATCCATCAACTTTGTATTTGATAGAGAAAGTCCACTTACATCCTATTGAGATAAATATCCCTAAGAGAAGATTTTAGTAACCAAACCCTAAAACCTTAGTATGAAAGCCTATCAAAGGTCTTATATTTAGATACACACTATTACTGTAACCCTAATACTTCTCACTTTCAACCATTAGAGTATTTGCGGATATCCCGTCGATGATCCATAGCATCAAGACGTACCAAATCATTCACTAAAGGCTACAATTGGATCTTGATTCACAGCTTCATTTGTGCGAGTTGAATTAAATAAGTGTAAATTATTGATCTGGGCCGAGTTCAATCTCTAACAACATAATCTGTGTTAGTTAAGATAAATAAATATAAATTATTGGTGTATTATTCAATATCCGATAAGGTGATATTATGAATAATGAATTAATCATATATTTTATTAAATTAACAACAACTTTGCATGGTATGGGGAAAATTGAGTATCTACGAATCATTTTTGAAACAACAAAGTACAGCTGATGAATCTAAAGACAACATAAGAAGTAACATTTATGATCTTTTGTTAACTAAAACTCTAATTGAAGAACATGATATGTAACTTAACAAAATAAAGCCGTTGAGTCTAACTTAACAAGTAATTAAATGAAAAGCAGTAAAAGTATATCAAGTGTGCTTGCTTGGGAAAAGGGGATAGAACACTATACAATATACAGTAACAAACACAACACATTGAGATGAAAGAAAGTTGCTATAGCTATCTAGGAAGATGGACTGCTACTGTTGTTGCGAAAGCTGTTTGCAAGATTATTCAAAGGAGAAGCTTGAAAAAGTGAGAGTCTTATGGTTCTTGTGTGAGATGATGTATGCAAGTCTTTACACTCTTCAAGATCACTATCACATGCTAACACAACCCACTCTCCTTCATCATCCAAATACTTGAGAACCAAATTGTTCATATCATTTAGGTTAAAACGCCTTGCTATCTCAAGCTGCAAATCTCTAAAACACCATACAGCTTGCAAGCTAAACCTAATCTTTTCGTCCTCGAATGTCGCCTTCACTCTGAAAGCACCTCTTTCTAATAGTCCTGATGATGATGAATTGTTGTTGTTCCAGGTTACAGTTGGTCTTGGAGGTAGGGTTTGGTTATTGCTGTTGTTGTTGAAATGTAGAAGTAACTGTTTAGTATCATGATCCTCTTGTAGTTGTTGATAGTCTTGGATATTGATAGTGGATGCATGTTGCATTAATGCATCAACCGCTGAAGGAGCTGCAAGGTTTTCTGTCATCACAAGATGATGATGATGGTCTCCATTAATGATAGATTTGTTTCCTGCTGCATGAGTCTGACTGCATGCAGAAGGTGGAGATTTCAAATTGGTAACTAAATCTCCATGGCTGTTATAGAAACTGTTGTTGTTGATGTGATCTCCACCGCCACCGCCGCCTCCATGAGCAGCTGCAGTGCTCAACTCTGGAAAGCTTGCATAGAAAGATCCAATCTGTATAGCACCCTCAGCACCTTGAACAGAATCTATCACTAGTTGAAGCTTCTTCAAAGAATGTCCCACTTTCTTTATTTTTCTTGAAGGCCACCTTGTTATCCCATGCTGTCTGCATATCCTTTTCAGAGTTGTAGGGCATACTGTATCACAAAATATTATTTAATTAGTTTAGATTAAGATTGAGTTGGAATAATTAATATCTATATGATTATGATGTAGTTTCATTTCATTAATTAATTGAAGTTTAAATTTACAAGTTACTAGTACTCACCACCGATGCTCTTTGCGGCGTCCTTTAGGCTTCCGGCGAAGTATTGTCTAAGAACAGGCAAGCTGATGGTCTTCTCCGCCTTGGTTCGTCGCTTGTCACCTGACTTTCGTCCGCTTGAAGAAGATGATGACCTGCGTCCACCACCGGTTCCTCCGCCTCCGGATTCTTCACCAGCCTCTACACTTGCTCTTGAATTACTGCTTTGATCATGTTGCATTACTTGGCCAAATTCTGAAAAGACTGAATTTCCCTCTCTCTCCCAGTTACAGGTTGTGACTTTGAATTCCTCTTTAGGCTCTTGAAGATACTCCAACGACACAGACACGCCTTTCCCTTTGTTTTGTGCTTCCATCATATGTGCAATCCAAGAACAAGAGGATGAGTTTGTGTCTTTAGTTGAACAGCCTGAAGCTGCATCAACTTGTGACAGTGATGCAGTAGTAGCAGCATCAGAAGCAGAAGAAGGCATGTAGTTATTTGTTGTTGTTGTTGGAAAAGTGAACTGATCTTGATCTTCATGATGATTACCATTGTCATCCTCCATAACAACATGCAAATGCAAGCTTCTGCAAGCTTGCTGAACAACAAGAGACAATGAATTCAGCATTTGTTTCTGTTGTTCCGTGTCGCGGCAATCTTTAGGTAGAAAAAACTCCAAAACAAAATCGGCTGCAGAGCCAGTGTAGACACTTCTCAATGGAATCGCGACCGCGGCGTGTAATCCAAACATGTTCGCATGGTGAGCGAGCGGGTATTCGGCTTTGCTGAATGCTGTAATGTCGATCGCGAAACAAGGCTTGGTTGTTGTGAATGCTGTTCCTACTATTCCTTGTCCATTGAAAAGATGATACTCGCTGCAAGCTTCTTGGAATCCTAACACCTCCATGTCACCAACATAACAAGCTGAATCAACCGTCGAAATGCAACTCATCATCATATGATTATTATTGTTCATCTGATCCGTTGGAACTGTAACTGAAACACTGCATCCACCACCACCAGCAGTACCTTTTCCTCCTCCTTGTTGCTGTATACAAGGAGCCCATGTTAGGGCTAATGGCAAATTGTGAGTCTTGCAAACAGACGCCAACACCTCTACGATCTCGTTCACCGCTGCTTCGTATAACTCTTCGAATACCTAATTATTCATTATCATATGTGAATCAATTAGGTCAAGAATTGATCTAATTGAATCAAGTATTGATTTGATGAACGATGGAATGCGCGCTTACCTTTACTGCTGGTGGAATATTCATGTTGTGGCTACTTCTAAAATCAACCGCCTGCACCAAAGATAGATCCATCAACACATGTTTTGAATTGAACTGCTAATGCAATTATTTGAGAAACTATACAAACCTCGAGAGCATTGGAGAGATGATCAAGCTGTGGACGATAATTGATGAGATTTTGATTGGCGATAACAAACTCAATGACACCTAGACAAGTTCCGCTTCCTCTTTCGAACACAGGAAGTGCTAGAAGAGATCCATACTGCTGCTGCTGTTGCTGATGCCGCGGATACTCGTGGCTTCTAAAGAAACGAACATGAACATTCATGTTGGGATTCACAGAAACCGGAGCAGACGAACTCGAATCCTGCTGAAGATAATGAATTGCTGATCTCCTCCTTAGAGCTGGCACCCATATCTGAATAAGAACGTTGTTGGAAGAGTTCTTTGTGTACTCTTTTAAGTAACCAACAGCGACTACTAATCTCTCTTTCACCGATGTCGATGGACCTTGACTCCCCCTCGGCCCGATCCACCATCTCTTCCCAACAACAAAACCACTTTCTTGATCAACTTGATGATGATTGAAATGATCTCCTTCTCCCATTCCAATGGGAATATTATTGGCCATGTAGTGCTGTTGCGGTGGCGATGCAGTTTGCTGCATCGCCATCATATTATTCTCACTAGCCTCAATCCAGCAACCTTCTCCTAAAAGCTCCTCAATTATATCTCCTTGATCTCCTCCAACCATCGTTGCAAATACACCACCGTCGTCCACTATCCCACCACCATATTCCATCCTAGCGTCTTCTTTCTCAGATCCTGTAATAGTTATTATACATATATAGATATGAGTGATCAAGAGAAGATATATATACTATAGTAGAAGGAGAGAGAGAGAGAGAGAGAGTAGTTGAGAACACGTACGTAGGTAAGTAAGAAACGAGCCAGCAGGAAGAGAAGAGTAGTTTTTGTGCAGGCAGAGAGAGAGAGAATGATGAAACGAAATATATGAACATATGCAATAAACAGGTCTGGTATTTAATGAAGAAAAATGCAAATTCAGTTTATTATAATTGAGTTGGACCCACTGGTAAGCAAAAGCAGCTACTGGTGTATCATCTATATTATATTAATCTCTTTCACACAACTAGCAGCGCTGTAAATAATTTATTTATTTATTGTGATTATGATGATGATATAATATGTAATGTGTTTGCTGCTTCTTGTATAACATACACTCGTGTTGAGAGTAACACATGCATATAAACATATATAGTATACTATCAAGTACTCTATGATATATACTACGAACTCAATCCATGAGATGAGAGACAGAAAGAGACAAGGATGGGTATATTATTCTTGCCGTTGAATTTTATTAATACTTCGCAGGGTACAAAATTAGACTAGTAACTTTGGGATCTCTGTCTCCCTACTTCCACCTTCATCTTTAAATATAATATCAAATTCATTTTTTTAATAATAATATTAACTTTATTTATAATTAATATTCATTTTTCAAATTTATTCTCTAATCATACTATAAAAAAAATCTTGTAGACTTACTAAGTCAAACTACTTGTGTGCAATAACCAAAACTCGGTTGTATTTAAGGGTCTGTATGTTTCAAAGTTTACAATTTTATCATGAATATTATTTGTGTTGGGTAGAGATTTAAGTTTTATAGGAATAATTACAGTATAAAATTTATTTAATTTAAAATAATAAAAAATTAAAAATTAAAATAAATGTGAAAAATAGTTAGAAGTTATAGTTCGTTGAACTTATTCCCAAGAAATGTTATATATCCATCCTTAATGTTAATAACAAAACATACCTTAATTTAAAAGTTACTCGAAATAATTTTGCAAAATTTGAATCAAACATGGGAGTGTTGCATTTCCATAGTTATTTTTCTAGGAATATATTTTCATACCATGAAACAAACATACGTTAATTGTAGTCATTTTCTTAGGAATATTTTTTCATACCTTGAAACAAACATACCCTAATTGTGTTGTAAAGAGTGGATGTCAAAAGGTTTTGATTTGTTCTTATTGTAGCGTTCGTCTCAGATAGGTGATGTCTTCATCTCTCCATGTTTCAGTTTGTTGTTTGGTGATGCATGAATGGATAAAATTTTGTTTCAAACGTTTCTTAATATTGTTTGACTAAGACATAATGTGCCTCGTTGCATAGGTGTGTTCTTACTCGAGTATTGGGTCTTTTTAGTCGGGGATAGATCTAGAAGCTTTGTGTGGTAGGGTCGGGTAGATAACAAAAAAACTTTATTATTTCCTCTCGTGGTAGTTTGAATCTTTGAGTCGAGGATCATTTGTATTTGGAAAATAATTTTCATTTCACTATGGTGTTATCTTTTTTACATTTCATCTCCTTTTTAGTGCATTACTTACATGTCATTTGATGTAGAATTTTTCACGCTTCGTAATTTTCTACATGTTGGTGGTTTTTTTTTATGTTTTAGAGACTCGTTGAAATATCATGCCTTCAAATCATTTGCAAACACACACACAAACATCTCTTGATTTCGATTGGCTACCTGTATTGTGGCCTCGATGAAACAGACTAGGGCCAAGGTCTCGAAGTTCCCTTGACATACATGAAAAATGCACGTGGTCAATGCTTTCTGATGTTTGATATTCAAGGTCTTGTGGATTAATTTTCAAGCAAAATTTAGGTACCCAGTTTTGAGTGGCGATGTAGATTCATGTACTAACAAAGCATGTCACCCCTTAAAATACTTGTTAAGAGTTTATATTTTAAAAGTTACGCAGCCTCTGATATCCATATGTGTTGACTATTTTCAAGTGCTCTATGGGTATCACTTTTTGTCAAAGGTCTCCAAGTAAGTGAATGTGAGAAAATTACAAAAGGGAGAATTGAATTGTGACGAGGATAATTTTTTTTACTGAATGGTTAAGATAAAACTAATTCAAACTTAAGTGTTAAAAGGTAAAAAATAGTAAAGACAGATAAATATATAAATTTTATCCAAATTCATATTCGAAGTTACGTGTAGTCATCTCACACATGAAATTATCTCTATAATCCAACTTACTACAATTTCACTAAGGTATCTTCTTGTTAAACTAACTTATACCTAAGATTTCTTAACAATTTTTTTTACTACAACTTAGTCTCTTTTTCTTCTCAAAGAATCAAGTTATAATTTAGTCATTTGAGGAAATAAAATCAAATAAAAGACATGTGTTTGTGTTTACGATCATCATTCTAGCTGAGGATGTAAACAAATTTTAGCACAAATACAAGTGTTTTGACTTCTAACATAAAATATGTATACAATCTAATCACTTAATGCTTTGAGTAATTCTTTCTTTTTTATTACAACATAGATTTTTCTCTAGGTGGTGTGAGTGATGGCTAATTTCTTATCTTCTATTTCTCAAAGTCGATTCTAAAAAATGAATGTTGTTTTATTCAAGTGTTGTATTGTTGTGTTTAGTCTTGTACATAATTTTGAGAGATCTTGAGAATAAATAGATGTTTCTTGATTAGACTATTGCATGAAATAAACATTGAGATTTGAGTCTTTGGAGTCCAATTTACTATTGAGCAGAGTAATTTTACGGCAAGTTTTATATCTTCTTTTTCCAATCTGAAACTCATTATTAAACAACTCCAAAAGAAAACCCTAACCCCCCTTATGGCCTTATTTTTTTAACAATGTAATTGAATAAATCCCAACAATAAAAAGGAACAATATTATGTTGCACCAAAATATCACTACATATCTAAAATGTTGTTTATAAAATTTCAAATTTTCATGAACTACATATCTCTGACATTTAAAGTTTTAATTTTATGGATCTGCACTCTTCGGATTTGTGTAAAAGCAGAAGGATTATTATAAGGGTAACTCAGAGAGGAAAAGGTATTAACAAGTAGTTTTTGATGTTGATTGTGTTATTATTGTTGGTATTGTTATAAGTAGTTCCTTTGTAAAACTGTACCGAAGTTAGTGGCTGGAAATCCACCAGTGACAACATCAGCAGGTTGTGGTATTTGAACTCTGCTAAATGTAGAATGATACATAGTTGGACTTGAATGAATGAGGTTCCAATGAAAGTGAATAGATTCGGGGAAGAAGATGAAGAAAAATGATAAAATCCAGAAAATATTTTAGTGAATGATTTTCTATCGCTAAATAAGTCATGAAATTGATCTAAGATACATGGTATTCCACGCTAGTGCCACATAGACTTATGAATTGAGTCTGACTATTAGAATAAATGGAAAGTACTAACGTGATCCAGTTAATAGAGTTAAGGGATCAAAATGCTCTTTTTAAAAGTTAAGCGATCAAACTGGACCCCAAGTTAAAGATAAGAGACAAAAAAGGTATTTAGCCTAATTTTATTCAACTTTGTACTCACAACAAGACTTGTCGCGCACTACTTGTACCAATGTGTCGCACATACATTGTACTATAATGCCTTGTGTACTATTATTATTGTATCTCAAATTTGAATATAGTATATTTAGAGTGAAATTATCAAAGTTTATTATTTTGAAAGAATAATCTTCTAAACATCAGCTAACTGATCACCAAATGGTGAAACTCTTTAGAGGATAACAACTTGAGCTTCTAAACAGGCAATCAAGGTGTTAATTTTGTAGTGTTGAGTTGACATTAACAAGTGGATAACATAGTGAAGTCTTTAGACACATATGTGAGTAATTCCTTTTGGATTCTTTCCAAGGTGCATAATGATCAAGGTGCCAAACAATATCTCGACAAATTAATCTTGAGTCTATATGATAACTTACTATAAGTAGATTTACATGTTATTCCATGGTATATATTTCTTATAATCTTTTCAATAGCTATATACATATATAACACACATTATAGCATACAATTGCTCTCTTACATCTTGTTATCGTCAAAACTAAAATTAGAGGTCATTGTTCTTCATGTTGGGGTATTTTTTCACCAGGGAGCATTGAAAAATGTGTGACTTCTTTTCTTGAGCAACACCTTTGTGAGAGACACACCACATACTCACACAAAATCTTAAGTTGATAGGTGTGTGGGTTCTCCTACTTATAAATGCTCAACTCTCCATATTTCAAGCTAATGTGTGACTATTACCCATACTACTCACACTTGTTATACTCAACACCCCCCCCCTCAAGTGTGAGTCTATCCATAATTCTCCCCCTTAAGAAAAATCTCTTTTCATCCACATACACTTGTACCGCCGTTGACACTCTTCAACGGGACACCTCATACCCATCACCTGTGGGGATTACTTTTAATACAAGTGAGTCGGTCCTTCACTCGAACCAAAGGCTCATGATAGCACTGTTGGGGTCTTTTTTCACTAGGGAGCATTGAACATCGTGGGACTTCTTTTCTTGAGCAACACCTTTGTGAGAGACACACCACATACTCACCCAAAATCTTAAGGTAATAGGTGTGTGGGTTCTCCCACTTATAAATGCTCAAGTTTCCATATTTCTAATCAATGTGAGACTATTACCCTTACTACTCACACTTGTATACTAAACACTTCAAACCACTTTGGTTCAATAGTAAATAGGTTTGAAATTCCTCGAAACAAAGGCATCCAAGATATCTTTTCACCATATTTAAAGGTCGTCCAACTCTTCATCAGAGTTGTCTTCTACAACCATCTCCTGTTGGATTGGATGGACTTGCATATGTTGGTTGCTCGTTTCGAAGCTTCAATTATTTCATGGTTTTTTGAATTGTGTTAAGAACCTCATTATCTTTAGATGAATGTTGGGCTA